TTAGTTTGTTGCACCCACAGTTTATTGTGTGGATGTGAGCGGTAGTTTATTTCACTCACGCTTGTCTTGTTAGTGGTAATTTGAGAACTCGAAGGGTACCATGTAAACAGTACGAAAAAGACTCAGGGGCTGCTAAAAACCTTTATGAGACCTCCAGGGGACCGCAAAGGGCCTTTATGAGACCTCCAGGCGACCGCAAAGGGGCTTTATGAGACCTCAGGACCGCAAAGCCTTTATTGAAGACCTCCAGGACTGCAAGGGTCCTTCTATTGAGACCTCCAGGGACGCAAAGGGCCGTTTTGAGACCTCAGGGACCGCTAAAAGTGCCTTTATGAGACTCCAGGAACCCGCAAAGGGCCTGTCTGGGGACTCAGGACTGCAATAAAAGGGCTTTATGAGACCTCCAGGGACCGCCAAAAGGGGCCATTTTGAGACTCAGGTGACGCAAAGGGCCTGTATGAGACCTCCAGGACCGGCAAAGGGACTTTATGATGACCCCAGTAGGATACGCAGTCATAACTTCAGGGGATTTGAGTTTAACAAATATTTTAGCTCCATTATAACAGAATTAAGTGTTGTTGAATACTTCAAAGTTGATGATCAGATGTATGCTAAATAAGGCTTTCAAGTTATCCATGAATGAAATAGAAATGGATGTGCCATTTCTGAGAGGTTTGTGGAACCTCTCAAAATTCCAGTTTTCGATTCACCTTAGATCTGTCGTAAGGATAGGTTGTCGCCAACTCACTTGAATTTGATATTGACTGACCATTACATACAAGTTGAACTGCGAAAGATAATTTAGATTGGCAATGCATGGCAAGCGCCTTAAACTAAGCCTATGTACCCGTTGTAGCCTAAAGGCTTGTTCTGAGTCAAGTGTTTTACATTCCTGATTATACCCTAATCTTAGTGTGGAATGATTAGAGACTTAAACCTAGTCTTAGTGTCGCCAGGTTACAACCATTTAGTTTCTCATGTTTTTAATATACAAAACTGAATGCTACGTATTTCCCGATAAAAGCTTTTTAAGCTGCTCTTTGATAACTCTTAATTACATTAAGGTTGTCATATTTCCAGAAATGTATTAACAAGGCATCCACATTCGTTTCAACCTTAGATTCCTTTGGTCAAAAATCATGCACTAGATACTGTATGTCTGGATTCGGAAAAAGCAAGTTACAGTGAAATCGTAGGCGATTTACAAAATTGTAATAAGAATTCTAACCTCCTGGTGTTTTTCAGGGATATGGTTACTGTTCATTTAGTCACTTGTGGTCTCTTAGATTTTTGACTTTCAGACAAAGCGTATTTGAAATTTTTCACAGTTCCAGAGCGTCTTGGACATCTGTGTCTGGCAACATCAACATCTGTTCTATACTGATATGTGACTCTCTACCCCCCTTCCCCCCCGCTCGCTCTCTCTCATAATTTGTCTATCGGCTATCAGATTTTAAAGTCCCTAGTTAGATCATTCCGGGTGTCAACCCGCTGACACTAATCTATGCTGTCTTTGTTACGGATTCCCGGACCTTGGGCTCTCTGTGACTAACTTTTGTTTCTGTCAGCGAGAATAAGAATATCTTAGTTAAATGTGAAGAAAAAACATTTACCCTGAATGGTAGCCTCGACAAAATTGGTGTCAACTCTACCGAGATAATTGTATCGTGTACTACATTTCTCTCTCTCTCTTCTCTCTCGCTCTCTCTCGAATTTTATGTAATATAAGCGGTCACTATCATCCTCCATCATCATCATCATTTTCCAAGCCTTTGTTAGTACCGGGTCTTTTGTCTAGACAGCCTTTTGAAGGCATGTGTCGCCCTTAGTGAGGCTTGGGTTGCGCTCTAGTCCGCTTGCTCTGACTGCCATGAGTTCTTTGTTAGGCATCCGTTGATTTACACTGTACATGCATTGATTTCTTGTAGTTACCCATTATCTTGTGTAGCAAAAGATGTGTCTAATCCAAACATGCTTTGACGGCTCACCACGCGATGTATTTCTTGCCATTCAAATTGTGTAGCTAGAAATTGTTGTTAATGTGAACATAGTGAGAATATCTTCGGGTATATATCTTATTTGATTATCTAGATTCGTCTCTAGCGTTTATAAATGGGCATAGGGCCATTAGATCTCACTTGACAGTGCTCATTTCTTTGACTGGCAGTTTCACAACATTTCGCTTGACCAAGGAGGTCGATGTTAAGGAAGGAAATGTCCAGGCAGTGTAGGGGATGTTAGGCGATAAAGAGAATTTTTATGTGAAAATGAAGTGGGGTAAGAGTTTTTCTTGGAAAAGGGGACCATAAATTTCACATTAACGCAAAAGGTAATTTAATATGGGTGAGCACAGTGCCACTAACAAATTTTGGTTAATTGTGAAATGCCATGGACCGGGGTCTGAATCGCGTCTGACTGTGGAAGGAGCGTTGTTTTATCTGATACAGAAGACAGATAGCATAACTGGACGGGTGAATGTGAGGAATTAGTGGTCAGAGTTGCCAGAAGGACTGGGGCGGAGACAGGAAGAGAGAGAGATGAGAGAGAATTATAGGAAGGGTCCTGACCATTTTGGTGGATTTTACGGCACAGCCATGAAGGCATAATGAAGTAAGGCCAGTAGCCAGGTCTATTAGTCTACTGCGAATACTATAGTAGTAAAGGAAAGAATGAATCTAATGATGCTGGGGTGTGTACAGTAGAGCGAGAGAGAGTCACGTGATTTGGTACTTCAGGGAAGTCCAAATTTAAACGGTCTTCTCGGTATTCCTCAAGAACTGAGATCATTAAAAAGAAATGACATTTTTTAATTCATTAGAATTGTTTGGACTGGAGTTTTACTACTTACTTCGACTGAAATTAATTTGAACTAGGATACTTTTCATTATGGCGTGCTGTTCGTTATTTACGAAGTTTTCGAGATCCTGATTTTTAGTAATCAATTATATACAATCTGGAAATCGTAATTGAAAATAATGATAAATATTTAGAATTACATTAAAAAAAATAAGAAAAAATATTCACATTTTCGCAAAGTAAGATTTCCACATGTTTTCTCTAATTTGGATTTTCGATATTTCAAATCAAATGATAATTATTGCAATTTTTTTCTGCCCGTGCATTACAGATTACTCACGGATCCATCGGCAACTTTACACCAAGTAGTAACGACATTCTAGATGAGATATAACAGCGGTGTTCAGAATGTCGAATAAGGCAAGTTGAGGCAATTCCCACCTTAGACGATGAACTGATGCTGGCGAAGGGCTCTTAATACAAGGAATTAGAGCTGCCCTTCCTTCCCTTTTGAGCAAACCTGATTACTTCACATTCTCTAGATGCTGTGTGACCCCTAGGGGTTTAGTGCTTCCCGGAATATAACGGGACAATCAGTGTCATTTCAGATGTTCCAGAGCCTTTGAATACTGGAAAATAAGTCTCGTTTAGTTGATTGAGGAACCATCTGTAGCAGTAACGAGAGTTAACGCTGGTCATTCACCTGTGATTAATCTTACTGGTACTTCGTCAAAATGTTGATAATGGAAGTGAATTTTAAGGTTCAAAGCCTCATGATTTGTTGCTCAGAGCTCACTACGCCACCTTAGCCTCTCAGCTCACACTTGCCTGGCTCTTCTCGATTCCAACGGCTTTGCCATACGAATTCCACGTCAGACAAAACGCGAAGCTGAGCATTGTTTACATATAGTTCTAATATGCCCAAATAAGTGCCAGCTAGTCGTATTGTAAGTGACCTGAGTAAACTAGCCGGGTTTGTTGTTATTGTATAGCTAGTTGTCTCTTGAGGAGGGCCTCGATGCCGATGGAGGGTCTTGATCAAGAAATCGGACCTCCTTTCCTATTACTTCGATCGATCGAAACCTGATTGCCTCTTATTTTCCTGGACGCTTTTATGTCCCCTACGGGTTCAGCGCTTCCATCACAGCAATAATAATAATTAATAATAATAATAAATAATTAATTATTATTTATTATTATTATTATTATTATTTTTTAATTATTATTATTATTATTATTATTATTATTATTATTATTATTATAACCACTTGTCTAATGATCCATATGATTTAGCCATTTGTGTAAATGTACGACTATTACTAATAACAACAACAATAATAATAATAATAATAATTAATAATAATAATAATAATAATTAAGTCATTTAGAATTAGTAATAATAATACTGTTAATAATATAATAGAAATAATAATAATACATAATAATAATAATAATAATTTTTATATTCTGGATACATGGACGCTTTTTTTGTTTAAAATCTTATATCACCTAAACTTCTCTTTCCTTAACTTATCTCAAGGTGTTCTCTATACACCAGTTCCTATACGACAAGATTTAGAATCCAATATAGTCTCGGATACTTTATGAATGTCCTCTAAACGTCTCCTATCTTCGTTATTTAGTATCGGAATTGCTTCTATACGGGCGAATGGCGAGAAGTTGTTCGTTTCACGGTAGGAAAAGAAATTCATTTTGGTTGCCCAGATGGTGTTGGAATGTGGATGACGATGTTGCGAGTCACCGCTAGCAAGAAGGGTCTAGCAATTAGCCGTGATGACGTGTGGCTACAGTCACTGCTAGCAGAAGGGCATTTGAAATTAGCGTGTACTCTCTTCCGTATTCTTGAGTTGCCACGGTATACATAGACAAAATTGCGAAAGAGCTTCGGAAGAGGACTTCAGAGTAGTGTCAAGAGTGGGAGTATCGCTAACAGTTCAGAGAAGATGTTTTTTTTTCAGGGCTGTTTCTCCCTTCCAGGGTAAGAACAGTTAAGGGTTTAGTGTTTTAGCGATCTGTTCCTAATACATGTGCCATAAGCCGTCAATGGTACGTACGCAGAAAGCAAAAGATATGTATTTTTCAGCCGTATTTGCTGTATTTGGACATTTCACATTGTTCATCAAAGAATCGAAAAAAGTCTTCCCAATGGCCTCCGAAAAGTGAAGCTCTTTTGTCTCTTTCAGGCCAAGCAAGGCCTGCGGAGCTTGAGCGTGCCTGATGATGCCATACTTGGTAGCCAGCAGCTCCTCACCTATGCACTGTAGGGAAGAGCTCGAGTCGCACCGATCTCCAGGTCTTCCATGCAGGACGGGACTGGCACTGCAGGTAGTAAGGGGGTAAGAATGGGTCCTGCTACCCAGGTTGACAAGTAAAGCATTTTCAAGCAACCAGTGGTATCTTCCCAACTCACTCTGCCTACTTCCGCAAATGATTTTAGTTAGAGCATTTGACATAGAGCTGGAGTACCGCCTCTCGTACTCAGTAGTTAGAACATAAGAGAAAGGAACATGCGGAGGCCTATTGGCCAGGTTAGGCAAGTCCAACTCAAACCCTCCTATATTCCCATATAACTCACAGTTAGCCACAATGACAGCTGCGGAGTGATTCATCATTCAAAACTCATTGTTAGGAGCCTGTTATTGCCTTTCATGGATTCTTGGCCTTATTAATACTATTTGTGTACTTCAGTCAATTGCCACCCTCATTCGGCGTCTGTCCAAAGTGATGGAGGGGTAAGCCAGCGAAAAGCCTCGGCCGCTGTGGGTCATTCATATACTAAGACCCACAGCAGGAACACTTGTCATGTTTCTGACCCTAAAACTAACCTTTCCAAAGAGTGCAAATTCGTGTCTTTAGCTTATCTTGGTAGGAAGGTTTCTGATACATAGATCAATTTGGTCATCCTGTCTCTCGTATTTTCCAGGCGTATTTAGACCATCCAGTAACATGGAGATTAGAACGAAGCAGCATAATCTATAAGACCTTGACAAAGAATCTACTTAAGTTTGAAATATAGCCTTAGGACTTCTATTATTTATCCTCATGATGTGAAGCCAAGAATTAAATCGGCTTCGATTACCAACACTTTACCACTGTTGTCTTGGGCTGACTTCAAATTTCGTGAACCACGACCTCAATTTTTTCACATTGATTTTAGGTTAAGACCTGAGTATTGAGTTGCATCTGCGTCCATTTACTTAACATTATGTAGCTTGTTTGTGTCCGATACAACGATATTCAGCTTCCTAACCCCTGAGGGCTTAGCATCAATATAATAATAATAATCTTCCAATCTCCTGTAGCTAACTATATTAACCTTCCTTATCAGTGCCCACCTCAGTAATTATTAACAAATTTGCGTTTTATTCCAATAAAGCTTTTGGGCACACACATTTTTTTTAACGACCCAGGTCCAGGGTCCGCCTCACTTGCCTCGCCTCTACACTCTGCATGTAATGATGTTGTCTATATTTCTCAAACGCACAGGGGATTAAATTACCAACGCGATATAGTCGATGACAAGAAATGATGTCTAAGATTGCCGCTGGCAAGAAATGACTTGCAATGGAAAGGAATATTTAGTACTATGGCATGTCTGTTGAAGGCCCGCATCTTATCGCTCACGGGTAAACCGCCGAGCCAGACAGGTGTGGTTCTAACTGGCAAGGCAACGATTTGAATGGTTTACTTTCATCCTTGGTAAATCAAGAAATGTTTCACTCCTGTACGTGGCGTTGTACAGTGTTTTAGTACTACCAGTGTTTATACTTACCAGTGTGAAGTACTACGAGGGTGTAGGACTACCAGTGTTTAGGACTTCCAGTGTTTATCTACCAGTGTGTATAGTACTAACTAGGGTTTACGTACTACCAGTGTTTAGTAACGACAAGTGGTTTATACTACCAGTGATTAGTACGACAAGTGTTTTATACTACAAGTGTTATTCTACCAGTGTGTAGTTATACTAGGGTTTAGTACATACCAGTGGGTTAGTATACAAGTGTTTATTACTACCAGTGTGAAGTACTAATAGGGTTTAGTACAACCAGTGTTATTACTACCCAGTGTGTAGTACTACTAGGGTTTAGTACTACCAGTGTTTATTACTACCAGATGTGTAGTATTAGGGTTTTTTACTACAGTTGTTAGTATACAAGTGTTTAGTACTACTAGTGTTTAGTACTCCAGTGTTTAGTACTCAACAGTCTTTAGTACACTTGTGTTGAGTAGGTACACAGTTTTAGTACAACAGTGTTTAGTAGAACTAGTGTTTAGTACTACAGTGTGTAGTAGTACTAGTGTTAGTCTACCGTGTTTAGTACCTACCAGTGTTTTAGTACTACCAGTGTTTAGTGCTACCAATGTTGAGTAATCAGTGTTTAGTACCTACTGGGTGTTTAACTACCAGTGTTAGTACTACTAGTGTTTAGTAATACCAGTGTTTAGTAGTACTACAGTGTTTAGTACTATCAGTTGTTAGTAATACTAGGGTTTAGTACTACACTTGTTAGTACTACCAGTTGTTAAGTACTCCCAGTGTTAGTATAACAGTGTTTAGGTACTAGCAGTGTTTAGCACTTACCGTGTTTGTACTGCTAGTGTTTTAGCATTATTAGGGTTTAGTGCTACCATTGTTAAGTACTACTCGTGTTTAGTACTACAGTGTTTAGCATTGATCGTGTTGTACTTACTAGGGTTTCGTGCTTACCAGTAGTTTTAAATCACACACACCCCCCCCCCCCCCCCCCCCCCCCCCCCCACACACAAACCCCCCCCCCCCCCCACAAAACACCCCCCCCCACAACCCAAAACACACACACAAACTCCATGCTCAGTATACCAGTGTTTAGTACTGTAGTGTTTAGTACTACTAGGGTTTAGTGACTACAGTGTTTGTACTACTAGTGTTTTAGTACTACGAGTGGTTATTCTGCTAGTGTTTAGTACTACTAGGGTTTTGTGCTACCAATGTTAGTACACCGTGTTTTTAGTATATGAGGGTTTAGTCTACCAGTGTTTGGTAGTACCAGTGTTTAGAGCTACCAGTATTAGTACTGCTAGTGTTTATTTACTACTGTGTTTAGTATTCATGTTTAGTTAGCTAGTGTTTAGTACTACCAGGGTTTTAGTACTGCCATTGTTTACTATCCAGTGGTTGTACTACTGGTATTTTACGTACGACCAGTGTGTAGTGACTCAGTGTGTTTAGGACTAGCTTTAGTACTAACCAATGTTTAGTATACTAGTGTTTAGTAACTACCAATGGGTTAGTATACTATAGGGTTTAGTAATTACAGTGTTTAGTACTACTAGTGTTTAGTACGACTGGTGTTTAGTACTACTAGTGTTTAGTACTAATTTAGTGTTTAGTACTACTAGTGTTTAGTACTAACCAGTACTCAGTATTAACTAGTATTTCAATCCCTGTATGGGAATGGGCTATACATAATAATACATCTTAGGGAAGCAGAGCTGAATAAACCGTTTGTCTGCGTCTGTGATCTGGTTACAATAATATACATTAAAGAATCCATTAGCGCAAGTGCGTTTATGATATGCATATGCGTATATGCATATCTAGGAACGCTGGAAACCTGTTATATATGTATATGTGATTTTCATGTGCCAAAATCATTTTGTCATACATATTCAATTTAGGTGACTACTGCAGAGGGGGATGAATCCGCAATAGTCGTTTGCGCTCTCGCTTCTATTGAGTCTATGTCTAGTTTTGTAATGTTTGTATCCTTTCGTCAATACTTCTCCCTTCCTTCCCATATCCTCTGGTCACTAATTGTATTATTCGCGTTTGCGGACAGAGAATCGGAGCCTCCCAACGATTTAGGCTGAATGGATTTACACGGGTTTTGCGCTGTTTTAATAATATATAATAATAATAATAATAAAAATAAAAAATAATAATAATAATAATAATAATAATAATAATAATAATAATAATAATAATACCATACATACATACATATATATATATATATAATATATATATCTATACGATATATATATATATATATATATATATTATTTTTTTATTGAAATAAATATATTTTAGTATGATTTATGTATTTATGGATGTATTTATGTTTTCCAATTATTAAAACCGTTGTCTTAGCTCCGACTTTTTATTGGTGATGGTAAACTCAGGAAATCACATGGAGCACTACCCACTTACTAGGAAAACACCTTATACAGTAGTAATGCTTTGTAAGTTTTGTAAAAAAGCGTCACAGCAGCTACTTCTGCTCTGTCAAAATTATTGTAATATGAATACTGAGTTAATTTATGTAAACTATATAAGAATCTGATAAATATAGTTTTCCGTGTGTCTTGGGATTGAGATGAAGGAGTTAAGTGAGCCTTCTTGTTTTTTCCATGTGGATTCTGTATATTGATTCGTCTTGTTTTGATAGGGTTAATCTTAATGTGATTATTTATTTATCATGGAAATGCGACACGCGCGTTAGCATCTTACAGAGCGGGAAAGTTAGAGGATACCTGGAAATTTTCCGAAAAGTTCGAGGATGAACTTAACCTCATGTTAATTACCTTGTGAGGTTCAAAGCCTATCGGTCGGCACATGCGTCATTAGGTGTGTGGGTCAGCTGGACACTTGACAGTAAAAAACAGTAATTTAGCCTTTTTCGGGATTAAAGTAACAGTATATACACTCTGAGATACCTTCGGTGTATGTTCCGTTTGGGCGCCATGGTAGAACATTATCCGGGCTTGGTATATACAGTTATTATGGCAGTGTTCACCGCAGGTTGAGATGACGATGTTCAACATATGCAACAGTTAGGTATCTTTATTATGAAACGTTTCGCCTACACAGTAGGCTTCTTCAGTCAAGTACAGAAAAGTTGATAGAAGCAGAAGATACTTGAAGACGATGTAATCAGTCCATCACCCTTAAAGTTTTGAGGTGGTCAGTCCCTCAGTCTGGAGAAGAGCATTGTTCCATAGTATGAAACATAATAAAGATACCTAACTGTTGCATATGTGTCTTACCTAACAACCTGTCGGTATTTTATACCATTTTAATGTTCGATGTTCAACATGTAACTCCTCCAGGACAAGTCTAAACTTTGGAAAAATTCTTCTACTCGACCTCGAAATCCACCAGTTGCGTTGTAAACCGAGCCGTTATATTACTGGATTGTTTATGCCTTTCTTGCATTATTCTGATTTTTTTTTTTTATTTTTTCATTGAGAACAGTTCCTTGGTAGCATTGAGCTCCAGCT